TGGGTATTCTGATTCTGATTTTGCGGGATGCCAAGACAGCAAACGATCCACTTCGGGCTATGTCTTCATGTTAGCTGGAGGAGCTATATCTTGGAAAAGTGCCAAACAGACGCTCATAGCTTCATCAACCATAGCTGCAGAGTTCATAGCATGTTTTGAGGCATCAAATCATGGGATATGGCTGCGTAACTTTGTCACTAGGCTGCGTATAGTTAATGGCATTGAGAGACCATTAAAATTATTATGTGACAATAAATCTGCAGTTCTGTATTTCAACAACAACAAAAGCTTTGTAAAGTCAAAACACATTAACATCAAGTTTCTTTCCGTTAAGGAGAGAGATCAGAGTGGCCAGATTTGTATAGAACATATAGGGACAAACTCCATGATAACGAATCCGTTGACCAAGGGATTGCCACCTAAGGTCTTTCATGAGCACACTGCTCATATGGGTATAGGCATGTTTTGTGATACCTTGATTTAGTGGGAGTTTTTTTTTGTTGTTTTACTTTTGGATGTTCTATGGAATAAGGCATGTTTCGCATGTCTACATTTATGCATAATAAAGTTTTATGATTCTTTTCATCATCTACAATTCTGAATATGTTTGTGAATTTTTGAATGATCTCTATAAAGAATAAAGTAGAACCAATTGGAAATAGGCATGTTTTGAGATCACATTGCATGTAATTTTCATGCCACTCATCCATACTTGATCTATGTCATCGAATGTATTGATGTGGTGAACATGAAAGGTTTAGTCACACTTGTAGGTGACAAAAGCCGTCATGATCTCATATTGGTATAGGAGATGGACCAGATTGAAACTAAGGCAAAGTCTAAAGGAAAATAGCACGAAAGGTGTACACATAAGGAATTTGTTCAATATGATTGTTTCAAATTTAATATGTAGCCCAAGTGGGAAATTATTAGGTTTTAATCTCTGTTAAGTGGGCATACATATTCAGTGAAACAATTACATTGATGGGCTATTTTGTAGTGGGCTAAATCAAGTGATTCATTTATGCAAAGCCCGTAGACTTCAACAARARGGTATGGGGCTTAATGAGTGGATACCACATTTTGGCCCATATAGGCTTAATGGGATCCTATTAGGTCAAATATAAAGGCTCCTAGGTTATGGTTCCCAATATGTTAAATCATTTAGCTGCCCTCCTTGCTCTACCCATTAGAGTCAAAGAGTTGAGAAAACCTAAGGAAGAATGAAGGATTTAACTGAGTAAAATCACACCTGTCGACCAAAAGACATTGGTTCATCACTCATTCCGCAAAGGTTCGAATGTTGCGATGGATACAGGTATTTACATTGAAATCTCCTTGATAACTGCAGCATGATGTATCTTGGGTGCAACGTGGCTTCTTGTTCTTCGTATATTGTTTGGTATTGGTATGTTTCTACAAGAGTATGATTCAACAAGTTTAGTATTGGTATGTTACAACAGTCTAGCCCAACCCAACCCTTTTTTTTTGGGGTAAATAAAAGATTTCATTCAACTGAAAAGGAATAACCAGACTGAAACCACAAAAACACAATAAAAACAGAAAAAAGAACCTCTCTATGGAGGATGAAACGAAGAAGCATCTAAATCCACAGACAGAGTATCCTGAATTTCTAAAGGTGGAGTCCAATGCAAGGTATCTTGACCTGTCACTCCCAATCTGGCCAACAAATGGGCTGGCTGGCTTGTTAGCCTCTCTTTTAATACACTTAAATGAAATGGAGTTGCCGCACAATCTGTAAAAATCATCCAGAATATGCCAAACATCTGGGTTCTGGGTGGCAGTCAAAAGAACCAGCAACAAGGTTTGTGATTGCTGTCTTGGAATCACTTTTAAGTAGCGAAAAGAGCACAACATTCACGAATTGCATACAG